ATACTTATTAATTTAAAAATATTAATTTAAAATTAAAATTAAAATTAAAAGTTTAAAATTTTGTATTGCTAAATAACTAACCCTCTAATGAAAAAGGAAAAAAAAACTTTAGGGATATATGAGTAGAAGATTAAATAAATAAAATTATTTTTTATTGTTCAAAAAAATGTGAATTTTCAAATTGATCTATAAAACAAAGAAAAGTGCAAGAATATTTATGAAAAAAAATATAAATATCATTAATAAATTGACATGCGTGCATGGTAATTCATTTATGATATTTAAATATTTTTACAGGTATTTTTGTATTTTTTTCTTACAAATAATATATTACTTTTTTGGCCTAAAATAATTATTGTTTCTTCACTATTTTTTCAAAACTAAGGATTTAAAAATAATATTTGTATTTATTTATAATAACCTTAAAAAGAAATAAAAGACAAAGAAAGGTTTTATGTAATTGGATTGTTAATTAAAGTAAATAGATAATAATAGAGTTAAAATAAAAAAAATATTTGTTTATCTCAAAAAATAAAGAAATATTTATTTATTTTGAAAAATAAAAAAATAACAATTATTTTTGAGACGTATAGCGTATAAATATTATTTAAATTACTAAACATTAATTTTTAAATTCAATTGTTAAAATGATTCTATATTGTGCTTGCTTGTATTTTACTTAAAAAAAAATATCAGTTTTAAAAGAAGAACTTGAACTGCTTGACTTATCTTCAACTAATGCAGGTACTCTAATTTCTCTTTGACATAAAAATTAACTAATATGCGATTTAATATATGTTTTGATGCATTTGTAGCTTTAATCACGATGAAAGTGCACCTAACACCCTTTGTTTTTTTGTTAAAAATTCAAACTGTCAATACAGTAATATTGTAACTATTTTTCATCTCTAATTTTTTACTGATAAAAATATATATATATATATATGTTTTGATAAATTAATATATGGAAGTTGAAGTTGTCTTTTTCTGTCATTCTATTCTATGTGAACTTGTGAAGGGTTAAATGCGGCGCCGGCAGGACAACTGTCAATTGACGACTTAGGTTTTCATACGATAAATACAGAAGAAGCGTTGGGGGGCGCGGTAGAATATGACGTCACAACGATGAAGTCATTTTGTTAGGTTGGTACAGATCGGTGATCCGCCCCGATTTTTGGGACATGCGCTTGCAAAGCGGACATAAATTGCGGCGCTTGTCTCGATTATTGGTCAGCAACGCA